CTAATATGTTGTTAATTACCTCAATACAAACCAAAGGCAGAAGACCACCTTATTAGAAAGACTGTTTGTCCTGGAAGAAGAGACTACTATTTTCATTAGATCTAACCCTGTTCACAAACCAAATGAGCAATTATAAAATGCTAAGTTTTTTTTTTTTTTTTCAGACAAAACGAGTCAGATTCCCACATCCAGCAAAAAAAAAAAGGTAATTGCGTGACAAGTCAGAATAGCAATATTTATGAATTAAGCATAACTTTGGAGTAAAATTAGGGTATACGTGTATTAGCTTTTTAGTTCACATTGTGATGTGTAAAAATCGAACACAAAAAGGTTCTCGATGAACTGTCGTCCCCAATCAAGCGAATACAAACTGACTGACAAGATGTAATAAATAATCAACGTCTTCTGAGGTGTGCGTGCCTGTTTCAAGAACTGTATTATGTACATAGTCTCCTACATAAAGCGTAAACAATTAAATATAAGGTTTACAAGTCATATATACTTTCATTATGAGCACTGAGATCTGTATTAAAATCTTTCGGGTACCTTCTCCTCAAGATATACATGCATGCGTTTAAATCTTCTTTTTTCAATTCTATTTTTTAAATTTCATTCCTCTCATGCTAAAAAAAAAGATACATGCATGCCAATTTTTTTATACATAAACACATCTGATCAAAGCATGTATCCCAAAATTTCATTTTCTAAAGTTTTGCGATATAACTAAGGTGGCAGAATTTAAGTAACTCTTTGATCAAGTTAATTGAATTGGCTGGACAACATACTAATAGTATAATCCCTTTTTTTTTTAAATATTGTAAGCTAATTATTATATACTTCAAATCATATTTATTAAACCCGGCTCGGAGGGGAACCCGGCGAAAGAGGTGGGTGAACGGATTACTGGTTCAACCAATGGATGAGTGGTTCAACCGGTAGGTCATTAAATATATTTAAATGTTATGTTTCATAATTGTTGATATAGTTAAAACTATAATAAATTATGTTATAGTAAATGCTCAATTAGTCTAATTTATTATAGAATCATTAATTATTATAAGAATTAACAAAACCTAAATTCAATTAGTAATCCATCAAATTTCAAGTATACAATTTTATCTAAGTATAATTATCTAGTTTATTTATGAATTTTAAATGCCAAAGATTATTAGGAACGATATTTGCCTTTAGAAAGAATTGTGTGATATATTATTTTTTAAATTCATTTCATAATTTATAGAGTTTGGGGAGTAATAAAATTTATTAAAAGATTTCAAATAAATTTTGTTTTTAAAAAATATAATAAGAATAAAAGTCTAATATATAAATAAAAAAAGACTCAATAATCAACAAATGAGTTGTTAGTGTAGCAGTTGTTGCGTTTCGAAGTGTTCGAAGTGTCTTCGGACCGGTTCATCGGATTGACCTGTCGAATATACAAGAGGTCGCGGGTTCGAAGTGTCTTCGGACCGGTTCATTGGATTGACCTGTCGAATCGCCGGATCGGACTGAGTTTAATAACTATGCTTCAGATACAAAATTTAAAGTTATATATATATATATTAAATGTGCACCTAGATTTCCCTTTTCTTTTTTTTTTTTCCAATTTCTCTTCGGTTAAACATGTAGATCGGGGCCGGGCTGCGGAATGGAATGATAGACCAAGATTTGATGGAGGCTTTTGCGGAAAGATAATGCATCAAAAGATTCTGGGCTCTGACTGGCGATACGTTTTCTAATTTCCTATGGACCAGCAAATTAGACAGGGAACGCCAAGTTCGCCAGCCTCTATATGCCCCCCATCCCTTCTTTATCGACTGCCCTTCTTTCAGCAGCCGCCCTTATGATTATGGGGCAGGCATCTTGCTCGGTGACTTACAGGTCAACGATTAGATAGACGAGTGCCTGCCTGCCTGGTTAATTGTTTAAGCGTTTTGCAATTGTTAAATATTTTCTGCAGAAAGTTAAAAAGGATTCCTTTTTCCTTCAATTCTTTATCGAATGAATGTCTTCTAAGGTTCATTCAGATTATTGTTGCCCAATTTGTGAAACTTCTTTGAAGTCCGGCAAAGAAATTTTAAGTCCCAATTTGTAAAACCTGACAAGTACCAATTCAATGCACTTGAGATTGGGGGCATTTGCTTTTCCGGCGTGGTGAAGATAGGGGCGCCTGCAATTTTAAAACAAATAGGGTTAACAACAAATTGTCCACTAGAAAATTACTACATGTTCTTACTTTGCTCTCTTCTTGTCGAATTAAATCAATTTGCTCTATGAAAATTTGAGTTCCTTTTTTTCCTTCGATTCTATTAAATCAAGAGGATTTCGTAATGTAATATGTTTATGTTGTAGGAAAAGGACAAATATTCGATTAATTAATCAATGAGACTAGTTGCTCGTGTGGACAAATACACCTTAAACTTCACGTGTGTGTTTGTGTGCATATATATATAATTATATATGTTTTTGTCCTAGTTCACAATTTGTTGTGAGTGTATTTGGTCTTTCTAGCCCCGCGTGAATGGTCCAGCAGCAGCGCCTCTCACCAGTGAATCTTGAGATCATAAATTCGAGTCTCCGCTCCGCTGGATTCCTCCGCGCACTCAACGTGTTCGGGTCGGGTTGGGACGCCGGACCCGAGCCGCAGGAGATTAGTCGGGCCCCGTAAGGATTGACCCGGACACTCCTGTGTCGACAAAAAAAAAAAAAATGTATTTGGTCTTTTTACATGTGCGAAAAACACTTGTTTGCCCAATTGATTGAGCTCGTTGAAATTCCAAAGTGCACTTGACTTTTGTTCGTAACATATCATGCATCACAAGACACAATGATGTTATATTAGATTTGATGTTGCATTTGTGGATTTCTTCCCATTTAACAATGAGGTAAGGATGTTAGATGTTGTTTGAGAGTACATTTTCAAATTAACCATACAATTACCCTCAGCGTGTCAAGTCGCACGCAATTTTGAATCGACGAAAATTTTGGTTGGTTTCATAGACACGATGACATGAAAAAAAAAAAAAAACAGCGAAAGAGCATCAATTTTGCAAGCAAAGATAAAATTCAGCAGTAAAACAGCTAGATTTCTGAATAGATAATTGCCTCAGTAAACCAGGTGTTGCTGCATTTTATTGATTGCAGCAAGAACATATCACATACTATTGAGTTTGTGAACTAAAGAGTAAAAGCTCTCTTTACTCTTTAGCACAATTTCCATGTCAACCGTCCTAAAGAACTTCACAAGTTGTAGTATCATCTGTTGGAAATAAAAGGCGTTACATTCTGGAAATGTTCGCTTCCACTAAAATAGCAGGGCTTGTTAAACGCTGATATGGATGGATGCACATTAAAGATTACCCACCGAAGAAAAACATGCACATGATATTGGTAGTATAATATATCAACATTTTGCGAATGCGAGTTATATGCAACCCTTGAAATGTCAATTTCTTGTTCATTTAGAGGCTAAGCCGCTTCATGCAGATTGAAGATATAGTAATAAATATATGCAGGGTTTCTAACAATCCAAAAACCGCTGATATAATATTATTGTTGGTTTTCTGCTAGTATTACTTTTTTTTTTTTTTTTGGCCAGCAAAAATACATTGTGTAACCTACTCTATCCTAATCTAGGAGGAGAGGAAGGCTAAGGAGACTTGTGTTAGGAGTTAGTAGATGTACGGATCCAACTAAATCAAGAGAATGCTATGACACTACTATCCTTAGATTTTTTTTTTTACTGTAGGTAAGATTTGAACCAACACCTACCGCGCTTTCCTGGTGAAGACTGAGCTAAGCTCGGTGGTTTTTCTGCTAGTATTACGGTTTATTGAATTTTGTTTTTCTTTTGGAACTCTGGGCTGACGTACACTATGGATTAAGCAGTTGTTCGAATGTTGACTTGCCACTGTACAAATTTTAGTAGTGCATGTTTCCTTGTTTACAGCTAGCATCTGATGCATTATCCATCATTCAATAATGTGAAGTGTGAAAAGTCAGACTACCATTTACAGTTTTTAGTCACCTTCTTTACTCGTTCTGTACATATAGATGCGCACGCTAATTGTTGTATTCGCAGTATCAATAAGGCTGTGACGCAGGTATTAGTTTGCACCCATAATCTCACGTGCCACAATTCCGTCTCCTCTGTTATCATCGATTGCAAGAGCGATTTCAATATACAAATTTTAATGAAAAAAATACACGAAGAATTATTACATACAATCGGATATATATACATACATATATATATATATATAAATATGTGTGTGTGTAAAACGAAGATCCATGTATCACAATGGATTGACAGACTCAAATTATTTTTTTTTATTTTAAAATTTTACAAATAACAACTCCTATACTATACTTTTAAGGGACAGCTGAGTTATGTTATGATGGGAATTGGAAAAAAAGGCTTTGATTGACCCAAAAAGTTGGTTAGTGACCCAAAAAATCATACATGCATACCATCTTGTTTCATATCTACTCAAAATCAACGCGAAAAATTCACATCTCGTTTCAGACTTTTCCTTGCTGCAGGGCTGGTCAGATTCGTACAATCAAACAAAATTTGCACAAGCAGATTCTCTAATTGCTCTTTCTAACATAAGCATTAGGAAACTTCTAACTTTCTCCCCCTATTCTGAAAATTACGATGCCGTATTAGGCACATATTCCGACCTGAATTGATGGTTCAGATCTCTTCCATAGTCAACTTGGATTCCTCATTCTCCCATATCTCTGTATCGTTCTCATTCTCCCACATGGTGACATCTTTTTTCTGCCAAATCAATGATATTCAAGCAAGGAAAGTAGAATTATCATCTACCGCGTTTGTTCTGAAGGTCAAGAAGATGAATTCGACGGGATGCGAATTTAATCCCTTTTTTGGGTTCTTTTTGCTTAACAAAAGTTAATAAAAGAAAGAAACCAACAAATTCTGTTGATTTTGTTTGTTCACGTAATAGTCAGGAAGATAAGCAGTGGTACTAAAGTTGACGGGCTTTTTAACGCTGGCTTAGAGGGTAATAAAAGAATGGAAGAATAGAATACAGTAACAGAATCAAGCCACGCATGGGCCATGGGGCATGGCATGATGGAGTAGCCTTTTGCCAAACTGAGACAAATTCGTCCTTAATCCTCCACTCCCGCGTGAAATGTGAATGGAAGGGTGTGCAGTGCATCTCGAGAACAAAATAGGCAGGAATCAGTACTGAGCTGGAAGGATCTCTGTCTAAAGATGAAGAGGATATAATGGAAGAGGAAGATATATTACTGCTACCACGTAGGATAGGAATTAGGGAGGGAGGAAATACTCTCTCTACTAAAAAGACTTGAAAGAGGGAACCGAAAAAGGAAGACTGATGCATTTTCTCTTTGTTTTTCCTCTCTCTCTCTCCTCTGTTGCCATGTCTGCAACCTTGTCCCAGAAACCCAAAAAGATCACGTAATATCTGTGACTTGATTTTATCACGATTCCACAAGTTTTTCCCCTCTCCCTACAGATGCATTTGCGTATCGAAAGTAGATTTAGTACCCACATTATTGTCTTAATAATAAGGGGATCCTCTCCTTTCCAGTTTCCCCTATAAGTATTAGTGGCAATTGCCATTCCCCTTCCCAACGGACCCAACCCCCCCGCCCCCCACCATAAGTTAAAATCCTCTGCTCGTCAGTTGGTCGTTTAGCGTTCAGAAGAAGACATTATAATTAATGAGTGTCTTGGTCCTCTCACGAGAGCCTTTGTCGGTTGCTTTTTGTTGGGTTCTATAGCTAGCAGCTATGGCATCTTCTTCAAGAGGTCGAGAATCGGATGAGAGACCCCATGTTTTAGCAGTGGACGATAGTTTAGTAGATCGCAGACTCATTGAGAAGCTCTTCACCAGCTCTGCATGCAAAGGTAATGAACCATTCATTGTTCATTCCTTCCCCTTTTTTTTTTTCACAGGTTCTCAGGCTTCTTCTTGCTCTCTCTCTCTGTACAATTCACTCGCTCAAGCAGTCAAGCCACTACTCTTTTGAAAAAAAAAAAAAAAAGAAGATGTTTGGCAAGTGGCAACGAAGCCTAAAAATCTCTTCAAACCTCACAAGTCAAGTCAGTATAGAAACGAGGATGGACAATGGATCGTGGGCGACGCTGTCAGAGTAGTGTTTGTGGTTATCCTTTACTCACCACCCGACCGCGACCCCGACCCCAACCCCAACCCCAACCCCATCCCCAACCCCACCAGTTACGCCGCTTAAATGATGCCATAGCTTCGGGAAGATTAGTCCGGGTGGCAGTAGTACGGCATATCTATCGCTTTTAATAACATCACGCCTTGTGCATGTTTCTAATCTGGCAGAAAATTGTGGGCTTGATTGAGGTGACGGCTTGCGTTTCTTTAACCAACCATTTTTGACAAATTGACATCAGTCCTTCCTAATACTCTGCTTTGTTATTTACTGCTTGACGTGTCACATGTAGTAGTAGTAATTCATTGTTGGCTCATTTTACTGTAATAGTAGATAGTAGTAGTGTATGTCGAATGTGACGGGGTGTGATGCTTCCCAACCCCAGTTTCTGGAAAGAACAATGTAATGGGTTTTGTTTTGGTTCACTGAAAAATCCTCCTCAACAAGATCTTCAAGATTCATGCCAACTAATCCTGAAAATCACAACTGATGCAGTTTTATCACATCATCGCCTTCAAATTTGCTGCTGCTACCACTTTTTTTTCAAGGGCTGAAAGTGGTTTATTGTTGGACATCAAATGAGGAGGGCAAGAAGCGAGCTTAAAAAATTTCTTGTAGACAAAAAAAATATACACTTCTATTTCAAATGCCAATTTCGCACCATGTAGATCCTTTATTATCGTACAATAATTCTGCGCTGAATTGGTCCCCGGTATTTTGTGTGGTAGTTACGACTGCAGAGAACGGGCAAAGGGCTCTCGAGGTCTTAGGCTTGGGAGATGGACAACACGCCAGCAACTGTGTAAGTAGAAAACTCCTATAACCTTGCTTTTAAGTTGATAAATAGGTGAATGAAATCTGCAGCTCTTAATAGGCAAGTTATGCGCTTCAATCTTTTCGTCAATGCTACAATTTTTTTTTTTGGTTGATATAGACTATTACTTTATATTTTTCTGGCTCATTTTTTTCTGATGATGACTGCAGTTGATTGATACATTTTGCAGGTGTCAGAGATAAACTTGATAATTACCGATTACTGCATGCCAGGGATGACAGGGTATGAGCTATTGAAGAAGGTCAAGGTGAGCCATATTTCACTTTATGCATTTTCAAAGCAAGCAACCAGATAATTGGTTGCTCTCGTTTTTATAGATTGAAAATTCATGGCGAATGTCTTAACATGTTTCGTTACTGAACAGGAATCATCCAGACTGAGAGAGATACCAGTTGTCATAGTATCGTCTGAGAACGTCCCAACCCGGATTAAGGAGTAATAATCAGGCTGCAAATTCTACTAATTTTAATCTAAGTGGCACATGAGGCAAATTTAATAGCGTTAAAAGTTTATGCTTAGAAAGAAACCCAGAAATATACGTGAAATCAACTCTGACATGCCTCAATTCTTGTTAACTCAAACTAGGTGCTTGGAAGAAGGAGCTCAAGAATTCATGCTAAAGCCTCTCAATCAATCAGATGTAATGAAATTGAGATGTTATATGATGAAATTAAGCCACCCATCCAAAGGACAGCTCTGCATTGGGAGATAAAAGTTAGCAACTCTGAAATGATGGATTTGATAGAAAGAAAGGTATTAGGTAGGCAGAGATTTGTATCAACATCAAACTTGTTATCAGTTGAACAATCCTCTTTTGTATGTTCATATTTTGTTCCATTAATATCTAAAGAAATTTTAATTTAAGAAAATGTTCCAAAGCAATCTCATGAGGCCCCCCAAAAAAAAAGGAAAAAGAAATAAATTCTGCTTGCGGCCCATTCCTTTTCCATTCACTTCACACTAATCAAAGAACTGCCAGTCAAGCAAGAGAGTATTGTGGACAAAGCAAAGTCATGCCAAATAATCTGAGGTCTAATTGCTCGTAAATATCCCTTGACAAACTTTTCGCAGAAGAAAAAGTTGTAGGGGCAATGTAGGACAAGCCAAGGAATTCAATATGCTCAAAGCTTCAAGCCTTCTTCCCCGCTACCTTAGCAGATGCTTCCTTCAGTACCTGAATGCAAAGAAGTTGCAGGACACAGCTATCAAGCGTCATCACCTGGCATGTTGACTCAATCCCACTTTTCTCCTCACTTCCTGTCCTTTCTTCATGCCCAAATCCTTCTTCCAGATTTGCTAGTTGGGAAGAACAAAAGACAGCTGATTAGCAGTCTTTGCAGATTCGACTCTTACCAATAACACAACATACAATAAAAAGTCAGTTCAAAGATAAAAAAAAAAAAAGTAGTAGATTTTACTTACCTCCGGATCCAGTTTGATGCAAAAAAGAGCTCTGAGCATTAAGCTGACATCTAACCACAATGAAGAATTAATTAGGCTAATTTAACGTTCTCTTTTTCCTGCGAAAGAACAAGATTCTGAAGGTACAAAACAGATTTTATGCTATTCACGTACTTAGCATCTACATGGGACGAATTGCCATCAATACTTGAAGTAGCCCCAGATGGTGATGCATCTTCATCTTGGAGACAATCCGTTTCTTTCACATTCTCTCCGGCTTTTGAAGTCCCATTAGTGAATTCCTTGCAATTATTAGACTTGTCTTCCTCATCAGGCGTACAAGTACACTTCCGACATCCTGAGGATAATTTTGAAGCCTCAGTAGTGGATTCCTTGCAGTCACTAGACTTGTCTTCCACATCAGCTACATAGATAAACTTCCCACATCCTGAGAATAAGCTTTTTCTGCAGCGGGAACGCTCTCTCCAATGCTCCAGTTTTCCATGTTCAGATACAGGGAGATCAGTATGTTCATCTTCCTCCCTGGTAATGCTTTGCAGTTCTGATTCTGGAAAACTGTGACCATGCATTGACTTCTGAGGTTTATACCCCCTATTGCAGTGCTCAGAAAAATTTAGCATGCTTGACACTGGCGTAACTTTTTCCAACTTACGTTGGTGGGAATCATGTTCTTCTGATGTCAGGTTGCAACAAGGTGAGCAATCAGCATGCACATTGGTACCTCCGGATGTGCCAAAGAGATCTTCAATCCAAAGTCTGGAGCTTGGATTTGTATCATATGTCCTGGGATAAGGATTATGACGTGAAATTGTCTTGCCAGGATCATATGCTCCCTCAAACAATCGGCCATTCTCTGATTTCAACCTCTTCTCAGAAGTCATTTTTGAGTTATCAGCTGGTTGCGATCTTGATGAATTTGAAATCCTTGTAAGCTTTCCTTGCTCATTTGTGTTGTCCCCTTGCTGGTTAATCTCCAACTTATTGCAGGTTTTTACTCTGCCATACATAATGTTTTCACCACAGATGTTCTCTGAGCAACCAAAATCAGCACTTTTCGGTGTCTGTTTCTCAGTTGAGTTCAATGTGCCTTTCTTCGATACACCCCCCACTGAAAAGAGAATCAAAAGGTATGTATTGTGTATTTTGTAGGGTGATAATTAAGCCAAATATCTACTGCACCACTAAATATGACCTGCGCTTGACGAGCATGACTCCTCACTGTCAAGAAATTAATCGAGATGTAATTAGTTTATAGAGAAACAGAGGCATATATGACATTTCCAGACAAGAACAGCCAGGTATAATGACCTCAGCAAACTCAAATTGTCTCTTGTATCTTCAGTTTTGAAGCATGACCATGTGGGTTGGTAATCAATATCACCAACATCATGGTCTCTGTGAACTGGAGATCTCCTGCCAATATAAAAGTTATGGAGTTTAGTAGAAACGAGCATGCTGGTGGAGATGGGCTATGTTATTGAACTTTCTTACCATGTCATCTCCGGAATTGTGGAATCATGAAAGTTCTCTGAGTTCTGGCGCTTCACATATAGCTCAGGTGAATCTGAAAAAGAATAAATAAATAAAGAGAGTAATAAAGAAAAGAATAAAAAAGGACATCAAACATGGAGCGGCGATCACTAACTGATAAACATGCAAGTTTCCGGTATGATCTAAACAGTAGAGGAAATGAAGACAACAGAACAACAGACTCCAAAATCACTGAAGGAAGACTGAGAACAAAAATTAGACAAACTTGAGAATGAACTCCATAGCTGAGAATAATAAAGCACCTAATAAAGAAAAGCAGCCAGCAGCTGAGGAAGTGCAGAATAGCTAAATCAGAATTAACAAATACAATAAAGGCAACCAAAGAATGGGACTGAAAAGCACCTCTATGTCCGAGTCTCTTTGATTTTCTCATTGTAGTCCTACACAAACGCAGTAAGATGATTAATCTATATCAGATGGTACTATATGCTTTAGTCAAATATAGGTCAATTCCTGTATGTAAAACCTGCTCTTCTGTCGATAAGAGCCTTGGAAAGTAAATTCTTCACTCCTGGAGTCCATGGTATAATAATCATCAGAAGCATCTTCTTGATCCATCCAAATGTTGCAAGATGAACCAAAAGCACTCTCGTCAAGAATTTTGCCAGTTACAGGCCTACAGGTTGCTGGATGACATTAAATAAATAGTAAATTAAAATTTATTACATTAGAAGAGCCTGAACATGAAGCAAATGGGGATGCCAAACAAACAATGAAGCGCATGGTACAGCATGTTCAATAAATATTTAGACCACAAACCCAATTTTTTTACTTCTGTATATAGGTGTTTCAAAACTCTAATCAAGACTAGCTAATACATCTCCCATCTCCCCCAAAAAAACAGTTTGCATTAAGAATGACAATGCTTCTTCAAACTGATGTTAATAGCTCCCAAACTAAAGATTGACCTTAAAGTCCTTCCAAAAAAAGATGCAGAAAAATGCATTACCATCCCAACTGTGCCTATTTCTCTCTGTTTTGTGGAAGAATGGTTCATCATTCTGAAAAAGATCAGTAAAACCATTATCATTGTCATCAAATATTGAGAATTCTCTGGTGTCCAACAAATCTTGCTTTTGCTTGCTGAAAGAACCCAATATGTCCTTTGAACAGAAAGAGTGCTCCACAGAACTTTTACATAAGGGCACATCAACTTCCTGCATCATAGCATCCTGCATTACATCAATCAAAATACTTACTCCATGATATCAATAATTACAAAGAATGCTGGAGTCAATAACAAACGAAACATCAAGAGCCATACATGTGGAGGCAGAATGCTGAAAAAAGTGTAACTCCTTTTAGCAACAATTTTCAGAGCTACCATAATGTCATATCAAGGCACATATATATAGCTCTTTGTTTTAAAATCAACAGGTATTAAATCACAAAGACCAACACAGATAGAAGTCAGCAACAAAGATCAAATGCAATAAAAGATGTTTATAAGTTTTTCTCTATTGTGATACTAGGCACAGATAGCACCCGTTAGTTTCACAGATAAGCAAGAGTACAACATCATAAGATGCTCCTTTTAGTTTCCTTACTGTAAAAGCATGATCATATGTAAAATTGAATAAAAGAAATCCCGTCCAGGCACTCTAATTGAGAATTGGTAAGAAAAGCTCCAGTAAAGAAATTTAAAACTGTTGATAAGATTTAGATTATATATTCACAGATAAATTTAAATTTCAGACGAACATCACTGCTAAATTTAAGTTTCAGATGAACATCAAGAAAGAATAGAACATTAGAAACCTTTGCGAGGGATTAATGACTAGAACTTGACACTTCAAGAGGGAATTTGACATGAAAATGAAGCATTGACTCTTTTGACAACGAGATACCGAGTTACTGAATATAGATTTCAATACATAGTTGACGAAGCAACCTTTTGACAGTAGAAATTAGGCATCAGCATTTGCCTTACCAATTCAAATTCAAGGTTAACCAGCTCGCTGTTAAGGTTGAATGAGTCAGCAGGCCTCATAGCTTTTGATGGTGGAGAGCAACCATGCAAGAAGTTTCTGCAGTCAAACAGCACAAACTCACTCTTCACACAATGCTTCAACTGTGGCTCTTGAGAGATTAACTATAAAAATGAGAATAAGCCTATAACTCAATGATGCTTATGAAGAGGAAGTTCTGAATGCAGAGGCGGAAACTGAAGTATTTATGACAGCAAATGGTGAAACAGGAAGGGTTTTTCTAATGATGGATTTTGATAAGCAAGAATATATTTGATGGCATGACAATGGCATCCTCTACTAAAGAAACTATTAAGAATGCAATTCCATTAACCATCGATAAGGGCTTGTGGATGCCTAAGCAAAGAGAAAGCATACAAAAGATAAACATCAAAGCAATACATTGATTTAAAATATCAAAGCATACATTAGTTGAAATCCTTAAGCAATGCTAGTTATATGAAAGCTACAGGAGTTAAGTTCTGCCCCCTTTCTTTTCTTCTCTCTCCTCATTCACCACACTTTTTCAGAGTCTTCCCATCCCCTCCTCCAGTGCACCTCCCCCCTCTCCTATCCATCTTTCCTCTATTTGCTGCTATCATGTTTGACGGTCACTGATCAAGATGACCTCTGCATTGATGGGTTATTTGCCAGTGTTTACTGGGACTTGGCAGACAAGATAATGAAAAAGAAAATGAAGTATCGGAAGGAAAAGGTGGTCACATTGATGTGTTGTGTTAGCGTATATTCTACCAAGACTCTATATCATTTTTCTGATGATGAAATATTATCCTTAAAAATGAAGTAGATAAAAATAAGATTCTCCAAAAGCAAGATTATAGGAAGATGCTGTAAACCATTGCATCACTTAACATAATTTGACCACATGACAAAACGAGGAATTTTAATACCTCAGGTATGTACTAGGGCCACATAAATACATTGGCTTAGTATTAAGAGTTGACTCAGAAGTTCTCCACTTTAAGCTAAAGTATTTGATCTAATGATTGAGCTCCAACAAGCCACTAAGTTAGTACAATATCCAGGTTGTCAGAATTTGGCATAATATGTGGGAAGATATTCAACTGAATTAATGCCAAAAGTTTGTCAGACTTTGTTTGCATGGGATTTAGATCTAACACCACCACTACAACTCAGATTAGTTTGTCACTGGGCCCAAATTTAGTCTGCACCAATTTTAGTCACTTCTCAAAAGATTGTTCTCTGTATCACACTAAAGATATCTTACCTGCCATGCACCTCTGGTGCACGAACTGGCGTATGAACTGGAGTCTCCATTTCCACTCTACCAACACCTGATAACCAAGTGCACATTCAGTTACATTGGTGCATCATGCATCATGTATGTTCATAGGGATCATAAATGCTCAATATGTGGATAAATCTATTGAACTAAGTAACGAGAGTGACACTGATCTCAAGTGACAGTGGGTAGTAAAAGATTAAAGCAAGCATTAATCCTTTCCAATTCTGAACTATCATTAATTTTAGCCAAAACACGCCTGTTTGCTGAGAAAATTTTCTTTTACTTCTAATCACATGCTTCTGCAAATACTCAACTAAGCCAGACACGTATAGAACTCAAAAGAAAATTTGACAAGCAGCACAAACTGGAAGCTTACAATCTTGGTACTGAAAAATGTAGTTTCTGTTTCCTTGTTGAACAATTAAACTTATTAGGGAATTGCATTTTCACAAATAAGGATAAGAGAAAAGTAGAATTATCTGATCAGCCTGGTACATTGTACCTTCAATTGAAAATGCAGCATGAGCTTCACGTTCTAAACTTGAACCAGTATGGAGATTTGGTTCATCATCTCCAAGTATGTCCATCATACCTAGTTCTGTAAACAGTTCAGGAAAGGAAATTACATAATTAATGCAAAGATACGAGATCCATATAGCTCTTTACTTGAATACAAGGATTGGATGGTTTTGACTCCAAATTTTGCTTCTGGCATCCCTTCTTTCTTTTTTGACATTCAGTATACCAGTGCAGATTGTAAATGCAACTTCATAAAATGATATATATTCAACCAAACTTTTGTTACCTTGATACTCTGGGACCATTTTTATCTGATTCATCTTGTCATCATCTGAGTTGAAAGTTCTTGCATCTTTACCAGAAGTGCTAACCAACATCCTGATAGCATTGCAGGTGTTAATTATGCTCAAGACTTTCCAAAAAAAAAAATCAGCAAGCATGAAGATCAATTCTGCTTAAACTTGGCAGTCCAGAGTGGAGAACAAGTTTATCAATGACTACTCAATAGCCAGCCAAGATTATTTTGTGATGCTGAATAATCACTTCAGAATACTACCAGTTGAAAGAATACTTGTGAATGTGAATTTTAAGATATAATTGACTATTTGTAGTTTTAATTACTAAACATTATTTTGTGAATATACTTACGTCTTTGCATATGAACTGCCTGGTTGATAGCTTGATGAAAGTCCTATAACAACACAAATTTGGGTACTATTATCTCCAGCCCTCAGATTAGCAGACAAGCAGAGAAACTTGATCAAAAGAAAAAAAATTCAATTAATTTGAGCAGCATACTTGCTTCCTCAGCTTCAGAGGGGCCGGAAGGTGTGAATTTGTTAGCTTGAAAGCATTGTATTGATTGTGGACACTTGAGTGCTTGATAGTTCAGAGCATGCTGCTCTGTTTCATTGTTTCCTTGCATGGTCAAGAAAGGACTCAGGAAGCATACACAGACATGTCAATTTCATCAAGGCATTAGGCAACTTAAGCATGAGACGTCCAGATCAGACACATAGGATGGCCACAGCACCCAACAAGCAATAATGAAGTAGAGCACTCCTGAGGTTTTCAAGTCTAACAACTTTATATTCAATGATAGTAATTAACAGGTTCTAGATATAATGATGCAAATGATTTGCTGCTCTAGTAGATTCACTACCAACTGATGGACTTCAGTCATGCTATGTCTCATCAGCAGAATTAAGTACAGGTTTAAGCACCCAAAGGGATAGAAGTCATTAGCTATACTCATTTAAAGTCACTAACCCAACTACTTCTCACAGTAGCACAAAAATTGTAGTTTACTAGCAGAAAGTATTTTATATTTAAGGAGGAAAAGTAAAAAAATAAAAAGATCTGTTGAAGTTTAACCGAATCTGACAGTTGACCAGGATCTCCAATCCCGGGAAATGGAACTGTTAGGTAAAAGAAATAAAAATGCAAGCATGCCCCATCATTGTTTCCCATAAAGTAGCTCGAAGGGAGAAAAAAAAAGGCAGCCCGTAACCCTTTAAGAGTTGGACTAGGAAAAAAAACAAACAAACCTAAAGGGTAATTTGACTTATTCTGTTGCACAACAGTTGATAAGTTCTGAAAACTTAGAATATCCAGAGATCTACTATTTTCAGCATGCTGCCCATGGATATTGTGCTCCTCAGAATCTTTCCTCCCTCCGGTCGCTTGCTGTTGCCGCCTTTTCTGCTCAAAGTAGTGTTTTTGCCTGTAATATTAAAGAATATGTAGCCTATATTACTAATCACCCAATAAAATCCTTCAAAGTTCTTGACAAGCCATGACATGAGCAGAATGTACATTTGACAAGGGCTTAAAACTGTTTAAAAACAGTAAGAACCATAATTTCTACTTACCTTTTCTGCGTTGACATTCTTGTCTGAAATTTCAGCACGCCCCGGAATCAGAAAGTTTTATTCACCCATATATGAAATGGAGAGGAGGGAAAAAAGATTAACATGTTGAACTGCACATAAAAAAGCTCAAAGATGTTCCACCTTGTCAATCTATATAAGTGATGTTATAGTACAATCATATAGGACTTTCAATATCTTAGATGCAAGCAATTGTTTCAAAAACTTTTCATCTTTTTAAATTTTTTGTTATTAAAAGTGCAAAGTTGTGGAATGGTTAACAAATTTTAAACGCAATCTGACTTGTTGAATGCAACTTCACTCGAAAGTGCAATATTTTTCAAGCAATACAGCTTCATGATCTTGTTTTACATGTTTGTGCTCATGCATGTCTCACCCTTTTTACTTTCTAGAAACAAAACTGAAATGATTTCCTAATCGAGAATTTTTAACAGGAAACAGTGGCAGAAATTTTGACCGTTTTTCAAGATTAATCTAACGTTTACAATTCGAAAAAATAAAGAAAAGAAATTTTCACTAAGAATTAACAAAATAAAATCTAATACGACATCAGACTTACGGAAGTCACTTTCCGCCGAGATCCGCCCATCCATTGCAACATTTTTGAATATTCAAATATCTTTCTAAAGCCACAACCTATACAAACACCCAAAAGCTGGAAAAAATAAGTAAACCAAGAAATAACTTAATACCAGCAACTCTGGCAATAGCACCATATATAATTAAGTTCTGAGTTCAAATTCAAACACAAAACTTGCCAAAATGTGAAATTAGTAATTAAAAAAATTAGTCAGCTACACTAGCTTATGAACGAAAATAACAGATAGGCATCATTTCTACTTCTTGTGTTCACGAATCGAAATTCTGTATCAATGCAAGCAGTTGAAATCAAACGGGAACTAGTATACAGTAAATTTACTTGGGTCCTTGATTGTCACAATAACAAACTTGGTGATGTAAAATCAGGATATTCTCTAAAACCTAACGAGACACTGGTTAGCTATTTCGCTTTTAGGAACTTAATTACTTCAATTCCATAGGTATCGATCACAGTCCGGAAGCAATCACGTAGACGCGAGTATGTAGCGGGGAAGGTCTCGGTAGTAGTTAAACAGAATTTGAGGGAGGTTTCCGGAGTCGTAAATTACCTAGGCGGTGATTTCACCGCCAAATAGAAACCGAAATGCAGGACAGCAGGAGATCGACCGGAGAGATTATGCCGCTTTCTATCAAAATGCCGGCGGAGAGAAGCATCAGTTTGTACTCCTTGTTTAAGTGAGAGGGGACGCGGGAGTTATTTCGTGCCGAACGTTTCCAATTACTATGACACGTATAGAAGTGTTTTATTCCTTTAAGTAGCTACCGCTCGACGTATTGTTTGCAACAAAAATAATAAAGCTTCTAACAATTTCATTGATTAAAAAAAAAACTTTTTCCCCTTAATTTGTACATCCATAGGGTGTGCTTTTTCCATTAATATAAATTAAAGTATGTTAACTAATCACTTTACTTTAGCACAACTAAGTTATGATTATATTTTGTTTGATTTGTTAGTGAATTTTAAGGAGACAACCTTGGCTTAAGTATTGAGTAACTTGGCATATATTTCAATTCCGTAGGTCAAGGATAAACAAGTCTTACAAATTCTATGATGTTTTTTGTTTTTTGGAGAATAATTCTATGAAGTTCATTGTGTATGTCGATAGAGTTTCCATGAACCTTTTTTTGCCACATTTACCCATAAAATGGTCAAGCTATTCACGAACAATGTAACATTTTGTGACCAAATTGTAATTCATTATTAACTACTTGTATAGTTCCGTAACAATAATTGAGTATCATTTATGGTATTCACATGAACAGTAATCGAATTCACACTACTATTGTGAAGTTGTGCAAATAAATAATAATGAATAATGAACTATAACTTGATTCATAAATAGTTGTATTCTGCCATTTTTTCCAATTATACATGTTATGAGATTATTTTTCTTGGTAACAATTAGGATTGTTAATGAGGTCGGGTTGGCTTATACTAGTTTGTTTTTTCACCACAAAATCCAATAAAGAGTTAAGCACGGGCCTTAAAATGTTCAAATTCAAATGGATCAAACCCGATAGTGCTATTTCTTTTTTGTTTTTTTTTTTTTTTGGTTTTGGGGGGGGGGGTTGTTGCGGGTGGAGGTAGTGCTATTCAATTTTGGATACATATTCGTCTTTATTATTCTAAAGGGGGGGGGGTGGCGAAAATTATTTTGGATACATATTTGCTTTATCCTAGTTGAGAAAATTATGCTGGGGAAAGATAAAAGCACTAAATTTTGTCAGCCTACCGCTGTGACTTTTATAAATCTTTTGTTGGGGAAAACGAACTTGTACAAGTCGACAATGATATTTCGGCACCACTGATTGAATATGGACAAGGGCTTTGCTGTGTGGAAATTGACGTGGTTCATCAAAATCTTCACCGCACAATGAGAAGAATTTTCGTCCCCGAATGCATGATCTTGAAAGTATCCTTCGTTGCCATCAACGAGTTTGACACAAATTTCCAAAAGTAAAGGAACGAGTTTCGCATTTTGTATATGGCGATTGCCGGATTGGACTTTTGTTTGTGGGGCGGGTGACCGATGCAGCATGGCCCATATACGATGTGCACTCCGCAAAAGTTCTTCGAGGTCATTAAACTCTCACCCACGATCATAAATAACACACACATACACTAGTCTTGAGAAACTCACAATCCAACTCAAAAAAACATGCTGACTTTCAAGCTACACTGAAAACCTTAAATAGTACTCCCTCCCTTTTTTTATAACTGACGTTTAAGGTTTTGCACGCCAATTAAAAAAAGTTTTTCATTGTTTAAATTTATACACTACTTTCCTTTTGTACCCTCATTAATTGTCCAATTCACTCATATTTTCTCTCACTAGAGTATTAAATGGTGCTGTTTTACTAGGCCAAAAGCAATGAGAGAAGTAATAATTACTAGGAGTAGTAATTAAGAGCCCTGTATTGGTAAAGAGAGATAAAAAGGTAAAATTGTGAAAAAATAATTAATGCTGCATGAGAATAATACAACGACAGATAAAAGTACTTAAGAGCAAATTTCTTAAACGTCAGTTATAAAAAAAGGGAGGGAGTACACACACACCACTCACATCGAGGGAAAGGGGGAGGGGGAAGGTCATTAAGCTCTCAATGTAGTCAAAGTTAATAAATTCGACTCAGATCAATAGGTCACTCATTAGATCAGTGAATCACTGATTGAACCGGCGGTGAGTGAGTAGTAGTTTAATATTTGTAAATATAAAATAATAATTTTAATATATATAAAAATATTTAATGAAATGCTTTTAAATACTAATTATTGTACTTAAAAAGATATATAATGAACATATAAATATTAATAGAAAAATTTATTTCATTTCATCATACTTTTACATAAATAAATAATATAGTCAAATATAAAACAAAATTGTGTCACTTGTTCCCAAAGATATAGCATCATTTTTTATTATTTTATTTTTATTTAAAATAAAATAAATTTTCACTACTCAAATATTGTCAGTTTTAAAGTTAAAATGATTAATTATATAATAAAAAAGTAAACAGTTTTATTTAAAAAAATGTTATTATCAAATAAAAATTAAGCAAGTGGTAAAATCTTATGCATATTTAGATGAAGATACAATATACAAATACTATCAAAAGCGTATATATATATATATATATATAATATTTCAAAAACAAAGACCAAAAATTTTTTTTTAAGAAAACACCGAGTAAACTAGAAAATTGGCCGAATTTCTGATTGAACCCATTATCCGATCAACCTAGAGATTGGGCCCGACTTGAGATCCGGACCACCTGGCCAATCGGTTCCATTGTCGTACCGGGCTGGTCAATATACGATGTATGCGCCGATTTGCACTTGCCGTATTGAACCGTAATACCCACATTCGATGCATCTGGTCCCGGCAGCAGGGTCCTATATAACTCGCAGATTGCACAAATATACTAATATAGCATTATAGCCAGTGAAATTTGGCAAAATGGAAGAGAGTAGTGTGATTCTGCTAGATTTATGGGTTAGCATTTACGCGACGAGGGCAAGAATTGCATTGGCCGAGAAGGGGATCAAGTACCAAGCTCAGGAAGAAGACTTCGTTTATAAGCAGAAAAGTAGCCTGCTTCTAGAGATGAATCCGCTTCACAAAACCGTCCCGGTTCTGATTCACAACGGCAAGCCCATTTGTGAATCCCTGAACATTGTTGAGTACATTGATGAAGTGTGGAATCACAAATCTCCATTGCTCCCCGCCGATCCTTACCAAAGATCCCAAGCCAGATTCTGGGCTGATTACATTGATAAGAAGGTTACTATTACATCCTCTCAACTTTTTGTTCTTTTTAATTGCTGTTCCCTTGTTCTAGTCAGGTTATATCCCAATCTATATTATGCTAGTCTCAGGCTCTTAGCTGCCTATATGGGTTCTCCGGTGGCCTCCTGTTTACATATCCCTGTGTTTGGACGGCTCAAAAAATCTAGGAATGAACAAGCACTGTTAATTGCTCTTAGCTTTTCTCCTAAGTAATTTCGTAATATAATTTTCGAGAATCGCCTGAACTCCTGGTAAACTTTAGAACAAATATATTGACTATAATTCTGGGGCGTGGAATGCAGGTATCTTCAAGGAATATATGGGGGAACAAGGGGGAGGAGCGGGAGAAAGCGAAGAAGGAATTTATAGAAGCTTTGAAGATTTTGCAGGGAGTGCTGGGAGACAAGACTTACTTCGGTGGTGATTCATTCGGCTTTGTGGATATAGCTCTTTTACCCTTTTCTATCTGGTTTTATACCTTGGAGAATGTTGCCAACTTCAGCGTGGAGGCTGAGACTCCACAGCTTGTCGAATGGGTCAAGAGATGCAGGGAAAGGGAAAGTGTCTCCAGCTCTCTCCCTGACCCTAAAAAGGTCTATGACTTCATCTTGCCAATGATGCACAAAATGGGTCTAGCATAGCCGGATTGGATGGATACTTTACGAGGATTGAGGAATAAAAGGGAGGCTAATGCAGCTGATGCAATTTCCATTTCAAATGCAATGTAACTTTTTTTCTTTTTTCTTTTTTCTTTTTTGGGGGTTACTGTTGAAGGATGTAATATGGTGGCAATAAAAATATGATTTGGCCTTGGAGATTGCTTTAAGCCGTGATTAATATAAATTGAACGTGCTTTTTAGTTTAGAAGACTCACCTCAGCAGAGGATATGATTACTCTTTTTATCTTCCTTATCATTTGATTATGGGTTGGATGGATTAGAAATGCAGCATTACTCTAAAATAGGCTGGATTTATGGATGAAGAAGAGCACGAAAAGTACTTGGCTCTCTGCCTTCCCCTGTTAGAGAAACTTTTTGGATCAACGATCCATCACTCGAATTTGGGGCAGGAACTGTTGCAACAGCAATGATTCTTGAAAAATTTACTACCTTGATTGGCCTATATATATATATATAGCTCAAATTATGAGATGCGCTTCAATTTTAACATGCATGGGACTAACCCAAAAACAAAACCAAGTTTGCGTTATATTAAAACTGATTTACCTCTTGGACAAAATGAATGATTACATTTTATTGAAATGCACAAAATCATTTTACTCTGCCCCGCTCTCCACTGCTAATAATTTTGATGCTCTTCTAGCTTCATGGGCTTCGTCAGTCTATATTGGACTTCAACTTAGAACTTGGACCCGCTCTGAAGTTATAGCTTCGACATTGGTCGCAATTTTTTTTTAAGGCGCATGGGTCCATTTGGTAGAATAGAAACCAGGATGATTGTGTTATTCTTGGTACTAAATAGGGGCGGTTTGGTAAATAAGCGTAACCCTAGCATTCTGCTCCAAATCTTGGCTATAAATAATTCGGGCTGGAGGTAAAAGACGGGTGGTGGGCAGCTGCGAATTTCTTCAAGTGGTCTTCTACTGTTGTTAGCTTCAATCTTTTCAAGTGGCGCTTCAATTTCTTGTTCTGCTGAAATTTTTCTGGACAACGGGAACTACAGTTTCCTTTAATTTTCTATTCTTTTTTTTTTTTTTGAATTATTGGTTGGAAATCTTTGTGCTTGTACTATGAACGTGAATTTTGACCATTTTCTAAAAAAGATTTAGAACTGATTAGACGGGATCCGATCTGTGTACAATAAGCCGATGCTCTGGATAAAATAGAATGAAGGAAGCATGGTAGTGTGCACAGAGAATGAAAGGGTCGTCATGTCTGCTCTCTCTGA